TCCCGTTCCCGTAAGATTTCCAGGATTTTTTCTGTCTTAGGAACCTTGTCCTGACAATTCTAAAGTTATGGCGTGACAACGGGAAATGGGTTTCATTTATATATATATCCTCCCATCCGGTCCTAAATATATTAGATCTTACTAATATTATAAACTAGCTGAGCTTGCGACTTCGTCCGCGTGGAATAGTGATTCACAGCTCCTCCCCCGTAGTCGATAGCATGATAATATGTAGCCTATTAACCCGACCTGTTAGTAATATTTAAGCAAAATTTGAAGTAAATCCATGCAGCACTTTTTGAGTTCATCCCGCACATACAAAGAGACAAACAGACAAAAATTTTAAAAACCATATTCTTGGTTTTGGTATCGACTGTAGATCACGCCGGAAGCATTTTAAAAAAAATATTTGATGTACAGTTTTCACTTTCCTATCATTTTATTATAATTATGTAGTGTGAGTTTTATTTTATATTTGGTAGGCCTACCACCACTATCTCGTCTGGTGGTAAGTTTGTGTCTTTTGTGTATGTGTGTATGTTCGTTTCTCAATCAGGTCAAAACGACTGAAGGGATCGAGATAAAATTTGGAACTGTGGTAGATTATGATTTGGAATACCACATAGGCCACTTTTAGGCTTTTTATTGTGCGGAAACGCGGACAAAGCCGCTGGAAGAAGCTAGTATAGCATAACTAATGAAAGAGGGATGTTATATTTAGCATCCTCTTCCTCAATCTACTCCTATAGGAATTTGAAGGAGTGAATTTACTCCATTCATTACTTTTATTATGTGAGCAAAGCCAGAGTGATAACTTAGTTTATTAGAGTACATTTAATAATTCTTTTGTCTCCAAATTGTCGTGATATCTCGAAGGTTATTAACGCATGAGGATGTGATCTCGAGACTTGACAAGTATCAATGGAACTTTTACACTTATCAATGAACTGATATGCGGTAAATTTAATTTTAAGAATAATTTTAAGTTCTGTGTGCACCATGTACTGAAGGTAGTCCATCTAGAGCACCTGTGCGAATAGCACCTGAATGGATAGCAGCCAGCCTAGTCCACGAAGGGCACCTATCAATATATTTGGCAGGTGCTCTTCGTGGATACAAATTTGTTTGTATATATTTATCCAAGAAGGGCACCTATGACTCAAACCGTAGTGCTGGGATATACACAGTCGTATTTGGTAAGCAGGACGTTAAAAAAAAGATATCGAAAACAACCATAAATCCTTACTATATAATATTATAAATCGGAAAGTGAGTTTGTTTGTTTGTTTGTTTGTTCCACCTTCACGCTGTAACCACTAAACCAATTGCTTTGAATTTTTGCAGACGTAAAGTTAGAAGTCCGGATTAAATAATAGGGTACTTTTTAACCCGAAAAAATTTGATATTCCCGAGGAAAAACAAAAGTATTGGTATAGATGGCGCTGTGTGTATTGGTATATGTCACATAGGCTACTTTTTATCCTTTTGTGACGCGAGCGAAGCCGCGGGTAAAAGCTAGTAATTTAATATACATGAACAGTACCTACCCTACAGCGCTGACGCCCATTTCGAAAGCCACCTCTCTCTCTCTTTTCTTACGGCCACAATAGGTGATAGATAGATAATAGATAAAACTACTCCAAGGCCAGCTTCTAGCCTTAATTTTCCTGTGTAAGGCTTATAGGACGGTTAGCACTGAGGCCTTACCTGTGCTCGCAGGATGGTTTCCAGTCGATCTTGAGGTGCAGCGACGTGCTGCTATGTACTACAATATGCGAGACCTAATTTTTCTGCAACTTTTCTAGCACAACATGATCGAAACAAAATTGGTAGATTGTTTTAGCAATTAATGGACGTCTGGGGTGAATTTATAACTGAATGGCAGTCTAGATAGGAATCATCTATCAGGGGCCGCCACCTTTATCAGTTCTTCCCATCAGGAGTGTGATCTCCTCGCAATATGAACGTAACACTGTTAGATAATTTAATTGTAATTAAATTAAATATTGTAAATTATTAAATTGTATTTAATTGTATTGTATTAATATATAATTATATTTAATATTATTAATTCGATATTAATATTAATTATTGTATTATAATATCGAATAATATATTGTATAAACTATAGTTTATATAGACCTAGTGAAATCTAGAAAAAATTCCGTGCGTTTAGGTCCCGTACCTATTATTGGAAGCAAGTTTACAGCTTACACATAGGACCCACTTAGTTTTTAGTCTTTCCGTTGTGCTTGGAAAAAAAATCGCTAGGCTAGTGGCTCTGTTACTTTCGATAGAAGTGTATGACTATCCTTTGTCAGTCATTCACTCAGTTATTGATTCGTAAAGAAAAAATTACACTTCGTATAATTGTCTAGACTAGTTTGGTCTGCCACGAACGTTCGACGACTTTACTACCTTATTTTTTACCGAGAATCAAAACCAGTTCAAAAACCGTCATTAAATATTTAGCACCTACATCTATAAACACAAACACCAACAAAAACTACGGAAACCAAACAAAGAGTGTTATGTCAACCCGTCCGTCCCAAGTATCTCAGAAACTGCTCGACCTAGAATGATAAATTTTGGCACAGATACAGGAAGTCGTGATCCAATTATGAACTGTTGGTACTCATACGAGATCTGGTTGCATTCAACCTCAAACTTTTTACACTGCCTACTATAAAAATTACCTGTTTTCTTCTAGATTATTTTACACTTCCTCTTCCGGTTTTTTGACTGTGTTGCCATGTGCAGAATATTTATTTTTAAACATGCGTAATTATAGATGCCTTGTCGACAAATTTAGGATCATATTTCATTAATTTATAAATGTTATAATATTTATGTTTGTACCTAAATACCAAGTGTTTTATTGCCGCAATAAAGTATAATAAATTGGATCAATGAATAATCATAACTGAAAAATAATAGATATTGAAATCTTGTTTATTTGTGTTCCGTGGTTTCAATCAAATTGAACATTACTATATTAATTATACAAAAACAAATTAATAATAATGAATATTAATACAATTATAAAATATCTGCCCGAACACCTAGCTGAGTTCGATTCCAGAAGCAGGTACATGTGATTAGCAAAAGATTTTTTATCTACATTTTGATGGACCGATATTTGACCACTATCTCGCGTGGTGGTAAGCGATGATGCGGTCTACGATGGAGCATGTCGTCCCATAAGCAACCTATTCACTCGGGCCTTGAAGACTCCCAGGTTATATTGGGAAACACAGACTATTTAATGGTTTGTCAGCTCTCGGTAGTTGTACCGAGATGGCATAAGCCGGTAAACGAGCAGACGGATCACATGATGGTAAGCAATCGGCGCGGCGTCGCCCATGGACACCTAGAACACCAGAGGCGTTACAAGTGCGTTACCTGCCTTTTGGGGATTAGGAGTTTGAGGATCGTTGGGGATTCAGGAATTGGGGAGATTGGAGAAGGGGAGGGTAATTGGGCCTCCGATAACCTCACTCACACGACGAAACACAACGCAAGCGTTGTTTCACGTCGGTTTTCTGTGAGGCCGTGGTAACACTGATCGAGCCAGCCCATTCGTGCCGAAGCATGGCTCTCCTACACCTAAACACTCTTACACGCACTTAGTTTCCCGGCAAGTTGGCCAAAAACTTTACAATCACATTTCACAATACCAAACTCGTAAACAACTGTAGCAATTACCGCAATGAATTCAGATGACCCTTCACCTCGTTCCGAATCAAAGGACCATCAGCCAAATCAGGATCCAGAGGGTGTTCCAAGGTCATTCGCAAACTGGTCACATCCTCATCAAGATCGCAATTATATAGTTCAACTCAATCACGACAATTATTTAATCCTCCATTTGTCATCCTTTTCTGATGAAGTACGGAAGAACGGGATGCAAGAACATATTTTGATTTAAAGAGGGATTGTTCTAGTTTTATTTATTTGAGAGTCAATTTCCGTCGGTGGTTTGGTGATTTGAATCATACATACATAGCTTCACGCCTGTCAGCCAAGGGGGTAGGCAGAGGCTATGGAACGCCAATTACTACGATTTCTACATACCTCTTTCGCTTCATCAACAGTCATCAATCTTTTCAAGCATGCTCGTCGGTTAAGGTTACTTTAATTTGGCCCTTCTTTAATATATCGCCAATCTGGTCAGTATATGGCCGTCTAGAGTGGCCCTCTACCGACGGGCCCATTCATATCCGCTCTGTATACTTCTTTCGTTACTGATGTGAATCAATCAGGAAGAAATTAATTTATTGATACGGTGTCATGACGTCGTAGTACGCCCAGTCATAAAGGATAACCCAAAACAATGAATTTCCATGTTACTCTGTTACGAACAGCCGTTTGAAATAATAGTCAAAGTCAAAGCATTTATTTCAATTAAACCATAGTGTGGTACTTTTGAAACGTCAACAAATCCAAAATAAATAATAGTCTGTCAGTCAGTCCGTCAGTGAAACTAGGTGAAGTTAGGTGCTCATTCCAAAAAGTAGATTCGAATGGAGAAGAACGAGCAAGAAACTCCATTTGTTACTCTTTTTAAAAAAGTATGTTCTACAATGTCTCTGATACATATATATTTCAATACTGTACGCATATTATTTACTTATTATTAACTTTTCTATTTAGGATAATAACAAAATTCTCAGAACGCAGATTTCATTTTCTTGGGTTGCCTAAGAAAAGAATTGTTCCAACATATCTGTATGCGGATCTCTACTAAATATTTTAAATTCATCATCATAAAAATAAATAAATGTACCTATAATATATATGTATGCCAATAAATGTCCACTGCTGAGCAAAGACCTCTTCTCCCACGGAGAAGGTTTAGAGCATTAATCACGCTTGCTCAATGCGGGTTAGCGATTTAAAACTTATAATTAGAAATTATAAGCCCAGGTTTCCTCACAATGTTTTCCTTCACCATTTATCCGCGTGGTGTCTAAATAATCTTAGAAAGTACATATAACAATTAAGAAAACGTCACATTGATACTTGCCGTTGGTTAGTTTCGAAACCATACTCTCATGCATGAGAAAGGAGCATATTTTAATATACTCTAAGTGTTTACCTGTCAAAACTCCATAGAGGATAAAAGCTAAAACCTCTATGGTAAACTTTACTTTTTTCTGCGTTTATCAACACGACGCCGTTGCCAAGGCGACAACATAAACAGCGGAGCACCGAAGACCGAAAGAGATTTTTTACCAATTTTTACCCGTTTTAGTTTTTAGTAATTATTTGTAAATATTTTTAGTGTTTCAATTGTTTAAGTTTTAGTGTTATCTTCCAATATGGATGAGGACGAAGATTTCCAAGTGGCGATTGCCATCGGCTCCGAGACCACCGAAGCGGAGAGGGAATATGGCATTGTAATTTTCCTTTGTATACTAGTTGCACGCCCCGGTTTTCCACGGGTGCTAATTCCTTTTATGTAGTTTGTCTCGGTTATGAACTTTCTAAGGCGTCCCCGGAATCCCGTACTACACTATCATCAACATCGAATCGTGTTGATGACAAACGCATTTATAAACAAATGTTTATCTAGATCTATTACTATCTATTTCAGCTTTGCATGCCACCTATGTACACACATACACATCGAGCTTTACATAACCAGTATAAACTGAACGTTAAATGTGCGGAAAGATGATGCGACGCGACACCAGGATAAACTGGTTTTGTATAGATTGATGTGTGGCCGTTTGTACATAGGTGGCATGCAAAGCTGAAATAGATAGTAATAGATCTACATAACATAATATCGCTATGACTGTAAGTGTAAGCAGTTAGAAAAGAATTCATCAACGCCCACAATATTCACTGCTGAACATAGGCCCCATAGAAATGAATGCCCAGCCTACAATCTGCCGATCGGAAGCGAGCTGAATTCATTATTATTATGAAAAACTTATTTTATAATCCAACTATCCTGTAATCTAACTACAGATCATGTCAGATAAACTCGTTATCTTGAATTGTGCAATCAAACACTCGTTAAGCGATTATGCAGTTTGATAGTTTTATCATGAAGGAGTTACTAGAACAAAACTCTTTACACAATCGAACAAGAAAACTCAGGTTCAATCTCCGAGACGGATAACTTGGTCTACGTTTTCTAAAATAAAAGAAGCATATGTACTCCTTAGTACATTAGCTATCTGCCAATAAAATTACCTTCAAAACCGGTCCAGCCATTTCAGAAATTAGCCAGTACAAACAAACAGACAAAAATTGTAAAAAGTATTATTTTGGTAGGTGTATCGTATGTAAATTCATATTCGTACGTATATAAGTTACACACATTATCGTATGTATATACAGCAGAAGGCATCTTGGCATTTTATAGGCAATGCTGCTCTCACTAACAGCGATTCCCACCAAACCTTACCCTAGGTCCCCGTCGCGGAGAACCTAACGGGTTACCGGGGCTCCGGCTCAAAGTGCAGGAGAAGGAACGGGGTGGTTTTTAGTCAGTAAGAGTCTGACACTCTCTCCCGCAAAGATCCCCCCATATGCATATGCATGTAATAATAATAAAAAGCGGTTATTTAAATATTACAAATTAACACTCCAATTTTATTGAAGTATCTGTATAGATTGTATAGTTAATTATTTGCCTTTTGCTCTGAAGCTTTCGACATAAAAAGTGTTAGAGAGCCATGCTTCAGAACGAATGGACTGGCTCGACCAGAGCCTCACAGCAAACCGACGTGAAACATCGCTTGTGTTGTGTTTCGTCCTGTGAATGAGGTTACCGGATCCCCGAATCCCCCTAAATCCTCGAATTCCCAATTCCCTAAAGGCCGGTAACACACTTGTAACGCCTCTGGTGTTTCAAGTGTCTATAGGCGGCGCCGATTGCTTACCATCAGTTGGTCCGTCTGCTCGTTTATCCCATAAAACAAATTCTACTTCTTCATTACATACTCTTCTCTCTTCTGTCTTCTGTCAGGTCCTGGAGCAGTTGCGTGATTCGGAAGGTATGAAGTTCATAACCGATGTGTACACCAAGCTGTACGACACGTATTACAAGCTGAAAGAGGAGAATGCACAACATTGCGAGGCGAAAGAGGCACTAAAGGTGAGAAATATCTCTTATTATTCTTTTTTAAAAAGGTTTCATTTGTATTCAAATCTTTTTCTGTATCTATTGCTTCGTTTTCTTTATTTACTACTTCCCATTTAGCCTCAACCTTCTTCAAATGCACTATATTCCTCCGTGATACTTTTCCCGTTATGTCTTTATGAATGCTTATATCTCCTCCCGTAGCTGTTTCTACAGTATGAGAAGTAGGATCATAATTTAGGCTAAGTTTATCTTTTACCATATTTTTTACGTACATACAACTTATCTCCAGGCACTAATTGGCATTCTTGAGCTTTCCTTTTTCTATCTGTATATTCTTTTTTAAAAAGGCTTTCTGTTTCTTGTGGGTGATAATCATCCAATCGTTTTTCTCCCACCTTGAGTGGGGCGAGAGGTGGCGGGGGAAATCGTTTCGTGTGCGTTGGAATTGGGTACCTACTTGCTGTCTAGTCAAATTCAATGCTTTTTTTTCTACTGTCAAAAACGACAGTTTCTACTAATTTTGTACGAGATTGTGTATTGTGACGTCACGTTCAAAGAGCATACTTATTTTTTTAAATATTTGCTGGAAAATACTAAAATTAAGTTGGTCATAAAATCAATTAATGAAAGTGTGATTATTTTTTAATATCTTATTGTATTGAATAGTCGAAATAATTTATTTTTGATTAAGGAAAGTACCTTTTATTTGCAAGATTTTGGTTTGCTCCAGGATACGCATTTAATTATAAAAACTTAATTTCTTTAGATAAGTTAAGAAATAATGATACTGAACCTAATTTTAATAATCTCCATTAAACAGCATTTATTATAACCAAAACTATGAATAGTTTCTAATGTAAATAATTTTATCTACCTTTTAAGGCCAAACTGGGTCGCTTCGATGACACCGTAACAGATTTCATGAGTGAAATAGCAGAAAATCACAAGGTCATCGAAAAGCTACGAACTGAAATCAGTAAGTTGACAGTTTAATAAAAAAAGAAACACAATTAAGTTACTTAACCTCTTGAGTGCCGGTATAAAATACACAATAGAACATGCATTGTGGATGTAAGTTCCGGCATATCAGGGGTTAATTCAAACATTTACTGGGATTTTTTTTTTATAATCATTATATTTTCGCTCCTACTTATGTGCACCTGTTCACTCGGGACTTGAAGACTCCCGTTATTATATTTGTTGGGAAACACAGATTCCGACAAGGAATTCCATTCCTTAGCGGTTCTCACATGGAACCTTGACGCGAAACGCTTCGTGCGATTTGATTCTTTTGGTTAATTGGAGAGTCAAATATTAAGTAACCCTTTTTTTAAATGTAGTACTTAAGAACGTATGGTATAGAAAGATCGACAGTATAACACAGGGTTCTTGTATCTTCCTTCATCCATTATTCTCTTCTCTACGCTGACAGAGGAAGCCCAAGCTCTAGCAGACGCGATGCACGCTCGGGAGCTGACCAGTGTAGAGAGTCTAGAGACCATGAAGAAACAGATCGTCAGACTTGAGAAGGAACTGGATGCTAGGAAACGAGCTGGTGAAGAAGATGCGTAAGTATTTTCACTGTGGATCTTATTTTTTAATAACTATCGTTATATTCATTAATGTCCCTGAGACGAGCCGGATTTCAGTGTTCCGGTGTTTCATGGTTGTGTCTACTGTAGATCTTGGATACTTACAGGAAGTGCAGCGGTTTTGGGAGGTTGTGGCGGGGTTGTCCCATTTAAAAAATAACTATCGTGAGGCATATTGAATTAAGTAAAAGTTATAATTTACTCACGTAAATATATTGAGAAATACGAATACGCACGTGCACGCTCCTCGTAAGGAGCCCTCTGTGGCCCGCAACTAGTAGAGCTTCTCAAAATATTCACCCGTGTAAACCGTTATTTTTAATTAATTCATTGCTGAAGATAGGTCTCCCTTCAATGACTTCATGTTTGCCAGTAGAAGCGGCCTGCATCCAGCAGTTTAGGTCACCTGTCATTGTATCAACATCAACAATATCAACAGCCTATAAGTGCCCACTGCTGAACTAAGCCTCTTCTCACACGGAGAAGGTTTGATCACCACGCTTCTCCACATCACCACGCTTGCTCATTACGGGTTTAAAATATAAGCCCAGGTTTCCACACGATGTTTTCCATCACCGTTTGTCAGTGATGTGGTGATGTCTCTATAATCTCAGTACATATTACAACTTAGAAAAGTCATATTAGTTCTTGCTGCTAGTAAATTTCGAACCCGCACCGCACACTCATGCATGAGATGCGAGCGTCTTAAGCTCTGTGCCGTCATAGTATGTCATCATATAAACAATAATGAGCCAACAAAGACAATTGTTTCATCAGAAATCTTAAAATTCTACAGATTATAGATATAGATAGATGGATTGACGAAACTGGCAATTCGTCTGTCGATCGTAGGTCCTTGCCACGAGGTCTCACGTAAGATTACGAATGGGACACAGTGTTACCAAATATTGTGTTTTCTAGCTAACGTCTTACTTAATGCTAACAGACAAGTGTGACTCAAATTGTAACTTGTCACTTCGTTGGTGTTACGGGCAGAGCCATCTCATCGCACACCCAACAAGCACATCTCCGACACGGCTTCAACCCAGCAATTAACTTATCATTTAAATATGGACTTTAAATCGTATGTCGTATGACATATTTCATATCTAAATTAACTAAAAACGCGGGTTACTCACGTAAATATACCCGGAAGCAAACGCGTAGTGTCCGGCAGAGGGCGCGTTGGGCTCGCAGCGCAAGTAGCAACACCGATGCAAGCGCCAATGCCAGCCAATGAGCTGCACGACGTCGCCGCGACCGCGCACGCTGCTCATGAGGAAGAACCCCTCTGTGGTTCGAAACTAGTAGAGCTTTTCTCAGTACGTGAGTAACCAGTGTTTTTAGTTAATTTAGTATGTCTCACAATAGTTATTATAAAAATATTTCATAACGTCAATATAAAAAAGCTGTAGGCGTGCCGCCCGCGCGCCTCCTGCCATATTTTATCTCAAGGAAAAACGCCGGGCCGGAAGCGTGCTTAGTAGGTCTGCGATGCCTATTTAAATTTTCAGATGTTCCTTTTTTACGTAACTAGGTTTTTCTCCTGTATCGTAGGTGCATTTACATACGAGGTTACATACACATGACACCCAGACCCGAAATCACAATTTGTGAATAACACAAATATTTGGTTCGTGCGGGAATTGAGCCCGCTACACGTTGCATGGCCGCCGGTTATCGCGCAACGTGTAGTCGTGTGTGTGTCCGTGGTAGAAATTGTCGGTCCTTCTGAGGACCTTAATCTTAATCTTAAAGAAGATTACATACACTGCTGTCTTTTCAAAAATAACGTTCATAAATCTTTCAGTGGAGCAACGTCAGCGGCTAAAGAGAAGGAGAAGTTTGAAAAAGAGAAAGCACGTCTCCAAGCTGAGCTAGATGCTGTTAAACAGAGGCTCGCCAACTCAGTCCAGTATGTGGAGGAACTGGAGGCGAAAAACCATAATAAGGAAGTTAATATATCCAAACTTGAGGAGCAGATTGAGGTGAGAAGACTTTGAAGGTTTTTGCTATGTGACCCTGACTTTGTATCGAATGTCTGTGAGGTTAATCGGATGGCGAGACCAGACAAATACAATTTGTCCATGATAAAAAAGCTGGTTGATGGGTTGGTATGAAAAACTGAACATGGCATAAAAGTTAGAAACATTTATTAATAGTTATTATAAAAACAAAGTTAGAAACAGTTGGATGTGCATTTTTTATGCAGCAATAATTGAGTGAATATTGCCCGAGTGAATAGGTTGCTTATGGGACGACGTGCTCCATCGTAGACCGCATCATCGCTTACCACCAGGCGAGGTAGTAATCAAACGTCGGTCCATCAAAGATAAAACAAATAATTGTGTACTTTTTATGACACTAAGTAAAATAGTAGAAATTTTAGTCCTGGGACCTATCTCACGAGCTAATGGTTTTATGTTGGAATTCAAAAACAGAAATAACTTTCGAAGATTTTCCGAATTGTTGATTTTCGAAAATCCTTTACCTACCTATTAAAAATATCATTTCAGGAAGCTGAAAACAACGCAGTTCGTCAGAATCGTCTGGTAGATCACCTGAAGACTGAAACGACGGGTCTCAAGGCAGAAGTGGACACCAGGGGAGGCACCATCAGCACCCTCAGTGATAAGGTACGTATATGTACCAACCTGTATACTTTATTTTCTTTAGGGAATGAGGTAAATAGCTATACCTATAGCTAACTATAAGAAACTATAAAATGAATAAAAGAAATAAAAACTATAGAAAAAACAAAAGAAAAACGTCTTCTTTTTTATTTTATAAATGATAATTTTTTTTCGGTGGACATTTACACACACATTTTCAGTCAGTTCATAAAGAAAAATATGGATGGGTTTACTATATTATTAACGTAATGGCTATTCTTGGTTGCCACACGGAACAAAATATAATTACATGACCTTTGGTCTTTTCACATCTTAGTACAAAAGAAGGCCCTCGTTTAAATTTTACAAATTTTTATTTCTTATATCAAAGCTAATGAAAGCAGAGAAAGCCATAGACCGTCGGGACCGCCAGTTGACCAACATGACAACGAAACTGGAAGCAGCTCATGCTGAGCAAGAAGCAGCTGTGAACAAGAGCACGCAGCTTAGGGAACAAGTGGATAATTTGAACTCAGAACTAGATAAAGCCAAGACTCAACTCAATCATACTACTAAAGAACTTAAGGTAAGGGTTGCACAACTTAAATCCTCCCAATCCATTTCTCCATCGCACCAGACAAATGACAAATGTTTAATGGTAGATGTTCCACGTTCCAAGCGTTTCTTTTCATGTTTCCTTGTGCGAACCGCTAAAGCGCTCTTTAGTGGGAGATTCTGTGTTTCCTGAAGGGGATAACCTAGGTATTGTCAAGCCTCTAGTGAATAGGTTACCTATGGGCAGGAATAATCCATCTTAAATCACTTTATCGCGTAGAATCGGTAAGATAGTAGCCAAACGTCGACTGATATATATAAACGGGCTCCAAGATAGAGGAGAATTTATTTGTCTTAAAAATAACATGCAGTAACTAAATTAACTAAAAATCAAGGTTTACTCACTTGAATATACTGAGAAAAGCTCTACTCGTTTCGTACTCACAGAGTCTCACAATGACGACGAAACACATTATGTCTCACGACAGTTATTATAAAAACAATGCAGTAACTCTACCAATTTCGAGTCCTAATGGGACTCTTATTTATGGGCAGCGTGCGCAACGCGACTTGAAACAGGGACAAGTTTCAAGTCGCGTTGCGCACGCTTCACTTTTCTTAATATTATAGACAAAAAAAGTAATTGATAATGAAAAACGTATGCTTTATCTTCTAGAACACGATCGACGACAGCCACAAAATACGTAACGAAGCGTCGAAGCTTATGAAGCAGATTCTGCAGCAGACCAAGAAGTACCAGATTCTGGAACATAGCAAGGTTGGCGTTGAAACCGATCGGTGAGAACAAGATAATAGATTTCGTTGCTTTGTTAATAAAAATATCAGTATGTCGTATGCATACTAGTCATAAGTTCAAATACTCAAACACCACTCAATTTTAAACTATAAAGAATAGTCCTGTCTCTTCAAATTCTTTAAAAATATAACATCACGCCTTTATTCCCGAAGGAGTAGGCATTACGGCACTTAAGGCCACTGTAGAGGTACAATGTTATACCTACTTTTCCCTATTTATGTTAAGAGTCCCATGTAGCAGGGGGTGAGCCTATTACCATATACCGGGCACATTTCCAGACTCCGTGCTACTTCTGAAAACCCCAGTAATACTTTGCCCGACCCGGGATTCAAACTCGAGACCCCTGGCCCGGCAGTCGCACTTGCGACCACTCGGCCAATGAGACAGTCATACATAATTATATTACTAACAATTCCGACAATATACCTAAATCCCTATAACATTCTCCACGCATCTTCTATTCTCTCACACATCAAACTTTCTTAGTAAATCACGATGTTATTGTTCACGGTACAGGGAGCGTCTGAGGCAACAAGTGACGGTGATGGAACGCGACCTGATGATCAGCAAGAGGCAGGCGGAGGCCGACAGGAGAGATATAGAGAACTTGAAGCGAGAGAAAGACATACTCACTAAGAACATGCAGAAGATACAAAGTACGTAAATGTCTATATTTACGATTCCGATTTTTCATCATCAACTCCTCTATCATCGTTTTCATTAACATCATCCACAGCCCCATTATCACGATTATCATCAGTTCCATTATCATCGCCAGCACTTCCATCGTTACTGATTCTGCCTTCATCAACATCATCAACTCTTCCATACCCCTGCGATCATCTACTTCACACTCATCATCAACTGCTCCATCAGCTTTATTAAGATCATCATCAACTCCTACATCATGATGAAGAACAGTTGAGTCATCACCAGCAGCTGTATTAACAGAGACACTAATGTAATTTACCAGATGAAGCACTAGAGAACCTGAACATGCTGGACCTGCAGGAGCAGAGACGCAAGCAGTTGGAGCACGAGCTGGAGACCAACACCGCGCAGATACACAAACAGAGGCTCATGATACGCACCTTCGAGAAGGATAAAGATAGGTAAAGTAGGCTCATAGGCCCAATTCCCCCGTCCCCATCCTCAATCTTCAAATTACTAGTCGTCCTTGTCCATGGGTAGCGGCGATTGCTTTTGCTGATTGGTCTGCTCGTTTGCCGGCCTATCCTATATATCTATCAATATTCTCGAAAGATAATCCATTAATTCAGCTTTGACAAAGATACTACAAACCTAATCATCATCATAATTTGATAATTATGTCTTCTTCAGAATGCTGGAGGAGACAATCGCCCTAAATGAGAAAATTGATGAAATAACAGGTACGTATCATATTAATCCTCTTTTATAATATTAAAGTTCAAAATCTTTACAAGAAAAAATACAGAAGTTCAGAAAGATTTTCATAAACAAATAATGAAAGAATAATCCTAAATTATTAATCTAAAACCAACTCCGCAGAGGAGGTTCGTCTCCGTACGGCTGATATCTTGGACTTGAAGAAGGCACTTCGCGAGGAGACCATCAAATCTCGCAAACTATCCGTCGCCCTGGATGCTACTAGAGCTGAGAGAAACATGCTGCATAAGAACTATACTGAGGCCCTGGATGAAATACAGGACCTGAAACAGAAGATGAAGGTAAATTCGCAAAAACGCTAATCAAAGCAGATTTTTTATCCTTCCACTTCTCTTTGATGCTGGCCGTGTTACTCTTTCATGTATTAATGACTTCTCTGGTGTAGTGGTTGTCGATCGGTGGTCACTGGTCGCCTATTATCAAGTGGTCCATATGCTGGTATCACCAAATCCATAAAAAAATAATATCTGGAATTATCAATCTGAACATCAATAGAAGATTTACCTTCGAAATAAATCAGTTTTAGCATTAAAACACGGATAAAATGCAAAATTCATATTAGTAAGTACCATTCTGCATTTTATCCGTATCCTCTCAAAGAAAAAAAATGAATGATCCAAACATAAGAATCTCTATCTTCTTATATCTCTTCTCACTCTACTCCCAATTCAACAGATGCTAGCATATCAAATAGAACAGCTGAAAGAAGATATAAGCGGCAAGGAATCTGGACTGAAGTCCTGTGAAGGTTTCCTCGGGAAATGCAATAAGAAAAATGAACAGCTACGGATGGAGATTCAGGCCGGACTCGCGAAGTTGTCCGAAGCGAGAGCTGACATAGCCGCCCTGAGGCAGGAGGAGGCTAGGCTCAATAGGATCGTGCAGGTTTGTCATATATTCTTATTTATGAGTGGCAGATATTATCAACATCATCAGGTTATAAGGGTTCAGAGCTGGACTAAATCCTTTTTTCACACCGCAATAAGCAATTACCATGATTTTAAGTATAGATTGTTTAGATCTTTAGTTATTTTGCTTTTACGAGAGCTTCTCGTATAAAGGAGTATGAGTTCCTCTGATCTGATGTCCATGCTTACAGTAGGGTAGGCGGATTAGAGATCGCAGAGTTATCATTAAATTATAATTAAATTAACGGGTTGCCGGGGCTCCGGCTCGAAGTGCAGGAATAGGAACGGGGTGGTTTTTAGTCAGTTAGAGTCTGACACTCCTTCTTGCCTCACCCGGGCAGGAGAAGACATTGGATGCTTTTTCCTCCTCAAAAAAAAAGGGGAGGGGGTTACTCAAGATGTTTTTCCTCGCCGTCGTAGTGTTCGATAGACTCACTAAAGGGTTCTGCGAAATTAATAATAAAAGTTTTTAAAAAAACGTCAATTAACCTAATACAGTTAATATGTATAAAAAATAAACAGATTACATCATTTTGTCATTACTTTGATCTAGTTTTTTTATTTCTACTTTTCTCACAACTTTCCTACCAAAAAAAGTGTCCTATAATTGCTCAAGGTTAGATATAAAAGTGTAATTCATATCAAATTACAGTACAAATCGGTTTGTAGAGAAACAATATTGGCAATTAATTAGTAAAATTGTTTTGCTTGAAAAGCTATTTCTATGCCCATTATTGTACCAACTTCGATATTGTTCTCAGAAAAGATCAATAAGATAACATCGTTTTTTTAATTCGCGGTTTTTTTTTGCTTTTCTGTAAGTGATTCGTTTCTCTGAATCATCTGTGTCGAGGTAACTTTACAAACTATACAACTATCTATTTAACTGTCAAATTAATGGCAATTATAGTTTTAATTCTAATGTTAATTTGTTTCTATATACACCTATAGTAGCTTTTCTCCTACCAATTTAGTTTTTTTCTCGAGTAGGCCCCAATCCTGTGTAGAAGTCGCGGAGAACTTAAAGGGTTACCGGGGCTCCGGCTCGACGTACAGGAGAAGGAACGGGGTGGTTTTTAGTCAGTAAGATTCTGACACTCCCAGGCGGGAGCAGTCATTCGATGATTTTCCCCCCTTAAAAAAAATCCTGTGTAGAAAGTAGGTTTTGTGATAATGAAATAATTATAATGAATTAATTGTTTAAATCAGCTCAAAGTATTTTGGAATCTTATTCGGTGCACAGAAAGAAAAAAGAAAATCTAAATTAATTTGCTTTTACATAAAGAAAACAAACAATCTCAACATACTAGATTTTTATTTTACAAATCTACATTACTTATTTACATTTTCAAATAGACACCTCTCGTCAAACTTCATCAATCATTTCACATTAATATTGTTTGATTAGGAAGGTGACGCGGCTCGTGCGAAACTCATCAAGGAGTTGGAAGGTCTGATGAACGAGCGTGATGTGGTCGGCGCTCAACTTGTGAGGAGAAACGATGAGATATCTCTGCTTTATGAAAAGATACGGATTCTTGAGGTCACGCTGCAAAGAGGTAAGTAGGTAATAATTTAGATAGCGTTAAATTTTTTACCTCGGATTGCTTTTCAAAGAGTTTCAAACGCGAAAGAGGACCTCTGTTGAATCCTTGTAACGTATTAGATATTGGGTTTTTTGGAGCATGAACAGCAGGAATGATTTGTGGGTCTGTGAGTTCATCCTTAGCGGTGAAACATGAATAAGCGGTTTTGTAATAATGTAGCCCATTTACAAAAAAAAATATACTCATTATTTGAAAATAATTATGCTAACCCTGTTTGTAAAGTACCTACGGGTGGGCAGAGGTACACATTACAGCACTTAATGCCACAGTACAATGTAACACCCACTTTTCACTACTTATGTTATGAGTTCCATGTAATAGGGGGTGCGCCTATTGTCACAATTCATAGACTCCGTGTTACTACTGGGATTTTTTTTAAAACCCGAGATGAAACCCCTTGCCCGCCAGTTACACTTGCGAACACTCGGCCAACGAGGCAGGCAGGGGAATAAGATATGAGCTGATTATATTGATGTTGTACTTTGTAAGGTGAGCGTCAATACGAGCAGCGTGTCGAAGATATCAGACTGCTCCGGCTGGAGATCATACGACTGCGGAAAGAGAAGAACTTGCTGTCTAAGGGAATTGAGAACATGACTGATTTGAGGCTCGAGGTGAGTGTCTACGTGATACGTATATTTGCACCTACCGCTTTAACATTCTGCACCATCCAATGGTCGACTGTAAGAAAATGTCTACGGCATTAAGTCCGCCAATTTCGCTTCACTGTATGTGCAATAAAGTTTAATAAATAATTGATAAATATTTGTCATTTTGGGTGCATATTTGTCAAGGCAATCTACCCCTCATCCTAAGGAAAGTTTCTGTATCATCTACTTACTTTGTGACAAATATTACTTAAAATCTACATTCACAAATTAAATCATTGCGCTACGCTAAATGAGAGTGAAGATTGCACAATGTGTGAATACTTTGCTGTGTACAAAGAGTCGCAAGTTCCGATTCCTGAAACCAGAATATGTTCTACAAATAATTGCTGTTGTGTTTATTACTTTTCCAAAAATATTGTATACTCTTGAACCTTCCTTTTTTAGAATTATTGTCCCTTATGTACTTTATTATGTAGATATTATCCTCCTTTCACTGTATCCCTAGTAAAAAAAAATTATCAACTAAAATTGGCGGGTTACTCACATGCAAATACTGAGAAAAGCTCTACTAATTCCGCGACTTTTATTTAATATATTACGTCTCAAAAAACAGAAAGTTATTACTTCCTACTACTACCTACATGTTTAATTTATCTCAGGTATTCAACCTAGAACGCGAGTTAGGTCGCGAACGTCTCCGGGTGCGTGCACTAGAGGAGGCGCTGGAGACTCCGCTGAACGTGCACCGCTGGCGCAAGCTGCAGGGCACTGACCCGGAGAGCGTCCGACTCACGCAGAAACTCAGACTGACGCAGAAGTAAATGCCATTCTTTAACTTTCCGATTTTAAAATGGGTACTTATGGGATTTTGTACCTATGTGGTACCCATATAAATTTAAAATTGATAGAGTACATTGATATTTTTATTAGTTTTAAATCTAGAAGTTTAAATGGTCTACATTTGCCTCGTTGGCCGAATGGTCGCAAGGGATCTCGGGTTCGATTCCCGGGTCAGGCAAAGTATTACTGGGTGTTTTTAAATTCTTAATAGTCGAACGGAGTCTGGAGTTGAATCCGGTACATGGGACTCATAACACGAATAGCGAAAAGTGGGTTTACAATGTACAGTTGCAGTAATAGCCGTAATGTACACCTGTGCTCACTTATATTTAAACCTACAAGTTCATCTACAAAACAAAGAATTTAATCGTGACAGACATGCAGTTTCCTCAGAATATTAGATTAACAAACAACACTTACTACCGTAAACCAGGGTGAATAGAATTCGTGGAGTGAATAGATGCAGAAGAGGGATAAATAAATGTCGGAAAATGTTCTAACATCTATATTCACCCCATTCCTGTATTTATTCACCCCTCGAATTCTATTCGCTCCGTTGTACAGCATTGTCTTTTTTAATTATCTTTTGTTTTGAAAAAAAGGTATAGTGTGTTATAAAATGAAGTTAGTACGAATTAGGATCTATGGTAAAGCTCATGACATAACATGTCGAAATATTTGTCGACTATTCGTCTCACACGTCATTGGTATTACCAGTCCTCGATTTTACCAAAATTATGCACATAATACGTCATTATAGGGGCCAAATAGTAATTAATCTGTATTGGAAGTACTCAGTAGGATTTCACAAGTATTAAACAGCGCGTAAAACAAACGAATTGTAAAACTGTCTACTAAGAATCATAAATTATTTGCGCAAAACAAATATTTTTGTGGGTATCTCGGTCCGTAACTTCATCGTAACTACTTAATCTACATTGACTAAAAATATTTGTTTTACTTGAATCATTTGTGACGATTTCCTGTTATTAATTCTTGGGGATTTTTAATACCCCATGCCCATGGTGAAGTTGAATCAAGTTCTCAGTGATCCTTTCTCACAATTGTGAATTGATTTTTTGAATGGGGCAGAGGCCAAGTTCAGGTCTTGTGAGCAGAGGTGGCTAAGTCCTTTTTTATTTTTAAGGGGGAAAATCATCGAATGACTGCTCCTGCCTGGGTGAGGCGGGAGGGAGTGTCAGACTCTTACTGACTAAAAACCACCCCGTTCCTTCTCCTGCACATCGAGCCGGAGCCCCGGTAACCCGTTAGGTTCTCCGCGACATGGACTAAGCCCTAGGCAAACACCGCATAGAATCCACTAATTTTTTTGGCGCTGCCGCCGCCGCCGGGCAGTTGGGTATGCGCGTCTCGCGCCCCCTGTAACCTAGCACCCTAGGTCTAGTTTGCCTAAATGATAATACAGCTCTAATCTTGTGACTTACAAAATTTCATTTAAAATGGAGTTAAATATAGGGTATAAAACAATTCAAACCTCATTTTAAGTGCTGTTTGTATTGATGGAGTCTTGTCACGCGTAGTGTCGTGTCGTAACAGTAATTACTGGCCGTGCTAATTAGCCACACAGCCGACATTACAAGCTATATTCATTGAATCATGTTTTCTGTTATTATTGGCTAAATTGCTTATGAAGATAATCCTGCGATTATGAAGATTAAACCTAGGTATTCGTATAGATTAAAATGATGTTATGAGAGCTATACGTAAGCTATATTTATGACAATTCACTTTTGAAAAACAGTTGTTGTCTGTTGTTGAGCTACTTTGAAACACAATAGTATTTAAATTTTAGATATTTTAGGGTTTTGTAGACAGTAATGTAGATAGACAATTAAGTAAGAACTATTAAGAGTTACGAATGACTGTTACTAAATTAGAAATACATAGATTTCTTAATTAATCATACATAATAATATATTACTACCGTGTGTGCAGTCAGATTCTTTTCTATATCTAACAGGTTTCTTTCTATCTAACAGTGACAAATACATAGACAGGCTCCTACTTAAATCTATAGCTGTTTTAATAATAAATTCGACTATTCAGGCAGACGACACACGCTTCTATTTTTATCACCTGTCGCCATTATCTTTAGAAATTAAAGCAAATTGTTCATCTCTTTGAAATTACAATCTCGATCACAGAATAATTCTCGACGTGCTAAATAATTACCAAGTAACAATTTTACTAATCAAGTCCTGATTAGCACCATGGGTACTAAACTTGTTACGTCGAAGCTTCAATTATTGTCATTTCAGAACAATCTTGTCTAATTATCACCCAGCAATTTCTTCCAAAAACGGCTACAAGTTAACAATACTTGTTATAATGATTAATCCAATCTTCGTAAGTCCAGTCACGTAGGAAACTAAGAGGTAGGAGAATCTAATTAGCTGGTAATCAAGCCCTTGGTAAAGTACCTAAGGTTTAAATTAACCTTTAATTGGACTGACGACAGGTACTAGGAATTTCCGACGCAGACATAATGTTTTACTATATGGGTTAGCCGGTAAACGAGCAGACTGATCACCTAATCGTAAGCAATCAGCACCGCCATGGACCGTAACATCTGAGGGCTTACTCTTGAATCCAATTTCGATCGACATTGGTATTGTGAACTTTCGTACTCTTGAGTTGCAACACTAGCGCCCATTGCATCCGTATTGCGTGGATATTGAATGAACTAAATGGTATTGAGTTTTGTTTTCTATTCCGTACTCTAAATGCTATTTTAACAGCTACGATAGGGGTTGCATAGTTTTGACATTAAGTAATTATTAAGATTTTATTGGATTTAATTTGCATTGACATTGAGATTGGTTTCAAGAGTAAGCACCCTGAGGTGTTACAAGTGCGTTGCCGGCCTTTTGGGGTTAAGGGATTTGAGAATTAAGAAATGGATAGGGAATAATTGGGCCTCCGGTAGCCTCACTCACGTGGCGAAGCATAACACAAGTGTTGTTTCACGCAGGTTTTTCTGTTAGGCCGTGCTCAAAATGGTCAAGCCGGCCCATTCGTGAATAACCGTAATAAAGCTTAAAATTGCGATAATTTTAACAGAATAAGCTTCAATTAAATTATAATTAAGTATAAAGAACATAATACCAATGCAATGTCTACAGTTTTTACTGATAATGTCGTAATTTGAAACAAAAAGTGCTCAGGCAAGGCATTGACCGTATTGTTACAACCTTGATCTTCTGTTGTTTATATTTTAATGGTGTCACTTCGTACGGATTGTTACATGGCTATTTTAATATGAGCTCATGTCAGTTCACTGTTGGAATATGGGCCACCTCTTCACAAGAGGGTTTGAAAGGAAAAGGTTCAAGGTTCAGGTTTACCAGTGCTCTTAGGTGTTGATTCCATGCTTTAATTTAATACAGTCCATATTGACATTCGCCGAATTGTTGAGTTTAATGGTATAGGGCATAGGTATCTATCAGGCATATTTTTGGACCTTTAGGACAGCGTGATATTAGTTTATTTTTATTTTTCAGGAAAGTGCTAGCTCAAAGCGAAATGCTCGTACTGAAAGACCGGGAGCTGAAGGAAACGCGGAACCTGTATACTGCAGTCAAAGATATGCTGGCCTTGCAGCCTAGTCCAGAGATTCAGGTAAAAAAGTACCTACTTACATACATTTATTAATTTTTGTTAACATTCTATAAGAACGAAACTAAACATTACAATGCTAACCATATTAAGTCCACTTTATTGATTTACTTTAATTAATTCAGGATTTTGCATATCAAGCAAACTTATACTATTCATTCAGCCTATATCTTCTCTATGTCTTATCTTTGCTGCTACCCAGATATTAGAACTAAAAATAAGTTGTCTATGGTAAGTAAGGTATTGTACACAATTAAGTATAGAGCCCGCCAAAAATTTTAAATTTTGTCTTTCAGATAACATTGAATCGTACGCAACGGGCCCTGACAAATAGGACCACGAAGATGAAGTGCTTAATTGCAGGTTAGTTTTTTTTTTAAACTAGGTAAAACAAATATGCAAGTCCTTCACGGAATGGTTTTCAGTGATTTAACAGCCATGAAGCTAGGTCGAGCATGAAATGGCTAACTCTTTAATAATGATTTTTTAAAATGATTTAAGTAATCAATGAACGAGTTAAAAGGTGGATCGTCAACTTTTTGTCACTTATTAAATCTTGAAAAGGATTTGTACTTAACATAAATTATTGTAAATCAAAAAACATCGTTTATATCTACGCTGATGAAATCCATTAGATAATGCTCTATAATCTTGGCAACCTACTTTTTTTCTGAAAGTGTTAATATTTAATAGAAGAAACTTCCATTGGAAGTAGGTTTCCATTTAGAATTTGTATTTTACTTATGAAGATTAAATATTTCTACATCCACGCGTCCTTATACCTTACGTACAAGAAAAATTGTAAGGGAATATCCGTGCACTGAATCAGGGATATTATAGAAGAAAACTTGACTTGACTGCCTCGTTGGCCGAGTGGTCGCAAGTGCGACTGCCGGGCAAAGGCTCTCGGGTTCGATTCCCGGGGTCGGCCAAAGACTTACTGGGTTTAAAAAAATTCTGAATAGTATTACGGAGCCTGGAATTGTACCCGGTATATGTCAATAAGCCCCCTATCACATGGGACTCATAAACATAAATAGTGAAAAGTGGGTGTTACATTGTACAGTGGCATATTGTGTACCTCTGCCTACCCCTTCGGGGATAAAAGGCGTGATGTTATGTATGTTAAAACTTCTGATTCCCTGATTAATTTTCAGTTAATAGATAATTGATAAATTGACCAAATCTACAATGTACTTTTCAGAGCTAAGCATGCGTGAACGGCAAGTGAACGACCAACGCTTAGAACTGGATCGTGTCAACAGCGAACTACACTCCTACAAACAGAAATATTTCGAGATGAAGAGAGCATTGGACGCTGATGAAGCAAGGAGGTTGAAGGTCGCAACGCCACCGTCAGCCGTGATATCAAAACAGGCAGTGGTTCTTCAGTAATGTTAGTAATCCCGCCTATTACGTATAACCGTCGAAAAATCAGGGATAGACAATAACTTTAAGTGTTGTTTCTATTATTTATTATTTGTCATTATTTATTATCTAAAAACCGGAGTTTTATGTGGAAGTACTCGATTGCCAAATTATAATCTTGAAACTTCTAAGAAAACCTTTTGATTGAAACTAACGGTTATGGTTGTTACTGTGTGTAATTATGTATATAGTAACTGACTCCCAATGGAAAATGAATACTTGAACACATCGCATGTTTTTTGTAAATTGGAATATTACAAGCCTTTACAAGCGTGGTAGTAGTACAAGCGACCCAGATTTTAACGTAATTTTTTTATCCATCGCACTGTCATTTCTTGAGCTACCTATAATATAAAATTAAAGAGATATTCGGACTTGGCAACTCGATTGCAATAAATATACCGAATTTATAAAAGGCGAATTGCTTGAGGTTTTCTTACAAAAATGTCTGTAGTGACGATTTTAATTATATCAAGTTTATAGTTCGTTGTAGCATCGACATATTAATTTATTTGTTAGGGATAATAATATTCACTTATGTGCCAATTTATACGTACGATCTCAATACTGCATAAAATGTTATATTTGTAAAACTATTCGTTTTTAAAGTTACAAATGCAAAATATATTGCTAGTAAATAATCTTTCTAACTTATAAAATGTGCAATAAGTAAAGAAAGCAATGGTCTATATATATCATAATAGTTATGTATTAGTATATTTGTTATATGTACGTATTGTAGTAGTCAATCAGAACTGAAAACGCAAAAGGTTGACATTTGTTTGATAATAAATAAAACACTCAGGTAATTAATCCGAAAACAATAGTTTTATTTAAGAACTTTTCACTTTCTCATAAAATATACACATTGTTTTTGTCATTAAACTAAACTGTAAGTAAATACTAATTTTTAAATACCAATTCTCACGATTGTCAAACGGGTGCACGGCGGGGCGGTGCCCCTCTATTGCGTTTCTGTTCTAAATTTTATATTCATGTTCATGTACAAATTCGTCACTTAAACACTATTTAAAAAAAATATTCAAATGAAGGATGATTTTGTACATTTTCAAAGTAAAAAAAAAGAAACACGAAGACATCCGTTTTCTCATTAATAAAGTGTGATGATAGAATTCTACAGTCCTTTTGTTGATTACTTAAAAATAACAGTTCGAATGCATGCGCTCGGGCCGGACCGGGGCCGCGGCCGTGTGGGTACAAACAAATGCGATCAAATGCTCATAGACCAGGGGCTGGGACCATGCATCGAACCTCCGCGTACCGCAGTACACAGTATAACTCCAGCGCTTCGATTCAACACACACACGCGGTACATACGTCTGAATAACGCGATAATAATGTCAATGTGTATGTGTTACAAAATGAGAATGATAGTTTTAATGACTTTCTTTTTGTACATTTTAATTCAATATAAAAATCTATTTAATTACCCGCCAAGGTAAGCACAAAAGCCTTATACAAATTTACATAAAACTCGGGGAACCTTTGATTCCATTAGTTTCTAAATTAATTTCTCCAGCCATCGTTTTCGTTACCAGTAAGCTAGCTATCACTGACCATATACAAAATTATAGAGCTTTTATGATTCTAAAAACCTATTCCGACGAGCTCTCACGCGTATGTCTACTTCATTAATCACTGTACGCGAAGTAGTTGTTTTCTTTAGTATGAAACTTATCTACTCCACACAATGGGTCATCATTTTCTCCGCAGCGGCTATAGAAGATAACTTGCGTTACTTCGCCGTACAACACTTGCACGATGCTCGACTGTGTGGAGTAAAGCAGTATTAGACTTATTATCGCATTATTTACACGTACAAGTACACAGAACATACACGTTTCGGCCCGCGATCAATACACGCATTTTACCATAACAGTATCTATATATAGCTGTCCCAACTTACCAAATACAAACACAGAATCAACTATTCGCTCATAACGCGCGACGTTTGCATCGAGACGGGCGTGCATTTCACAAGGAATCTCATAATCACACTGAAATAAAACTGTGTACAGTCACACACAACATTCCTGCAAGCCATATGCACTAATTATAATTATTTGTCTCCTTGACGTATATAAACATGTTCGAGAATCGAATTAGCTCGATTCATTTGTATACTTTCAAAACTTCATTAGTTATTTATTACACGAGTGTCTCGTTTATATCAATCTCGTTTGTGTCGAAATATTACTTTTTATTGTCAGTTAACATGAAATCGACTATGAAAATCACGAAGTAGGAAATAAATGGAGTGCTTATCGATAAATCACTTAATCATCAGATAAATCAAAATAATTATATTATTATTGGAGGCAAAATCTTTATTGAAATATGCCTGCATATTTATATTATTAACATTAATTTCACAGTCAATTCAAGCGTCCCATTTGTCTCCTATCCCGCGACAGGAACATATTTTACTATAAAACAAAATGTTTGAGGACAGACAGACAGACTCACTCGCCGCGGATGAACCGACGCACTAAAACTCACTAATTTACTATTTTATAATATAAAGCGTTGGGTCGCCTCTATGCAAACGCCGCGACTACATTATTATATCACTCGTTGGCTTACGACATAGGTACTTATGACATAATTGCGATGGAATCAATAAAACTATTGTTTGTTTTGTATGTTTGTTTAGTCGCTCGGCGTGATCACGGTACTGTAACGTAGCGCATCTTCGTCGCCTAGTGAACGTCGGAGCTCTCCTGCTTCAACTGATGGTTGGCCGGATCCGACGTGTTGATTGGCTGGAATGGACAAAACGATGAACATTATTGGTCTGTTCCAAATCGGTAGCCGACGGTAAGGTGCGGGCGTGCATTAGTAAGAGCGCCAATTACCAGCGCACTGACCAGGGAGATGGGCGGCTGCGGCGTGATGGGCGCGTGCGGCGTGTGCGGCGCGATGGGCGCGTGCGGCGCGTGCGGCGCGGGCTGCGGCGCGGGCTGCGGCGCCGGCGCGTCGTGCACCGCCGTGGTGGAGTGCGCCGCCTGCGCCGCCGCGTAGTACCCGCCGTTGATGCTCTCCGGGTACGGCGCGGGCGGCGCGGCGGGCGCGGCCAGGGGCGCGCCGCCCAGGGCGCCGCCGCCCAGCGCGCTGCCACCGTGGAAGTAGTCCTTGTTCACACAGTTCCGCAGGCAGTCAGGGATGCGACCTACGATGGCGCGCCGTATTTCCGACGCGGCCATTTCGCGTAGCTCCTGTGCCGACGCGTCCGAATAGAAAGCCGCATGTGGAGTACACAGCACGTTCGGCGCGTCTTTCAACGGGCCCTGCAACACAATACGTAACGTTACATTCATTCTCACTATACTATTGAACAAGACACTGAATTATACAAAATGGATATTACTTGGACATTTGAAAATTATGTCTCACATTGACATTAACTAATACAAAAATGTTTAATGTGTAAAAGAAGTAATGAAAGTGGTATTATAATATTGTTAACAACATGTAGAAAGAACCATGAAAAATAAGTAATTTTTACTTTGAGTTTATACCACTTTTATGCCAATTTGAAGTTATGAAACGAATATTCAAAGCTGTGTTTATAATACAAAGTAAAACAAGGATACATACTTGGAACACGTTGAAGGGTTCATTCTCGTGTACGTCGAGTGCGGCAGCCCTGATGCGACCCTGCTTGAGCGCGGCTGCCAGACCTTCGTCGTCTACTAACCCACCGCGCGCCGTGTTCACCAAAAACGCGCCTGAAACACACGACACATTCTTGTAAATATTATGATTTAATCTTATTTTATTAATAAAATTAAAGTTATCTTACAGTTAATAAATGCCAACTGGCACTTTTGCCATATTATATGGCAATGCTTATCCAGTTATCCTATAACAGAGATATTAAACAATTTGTTTGACTTCCTAAATATCTGTACATAAACTGTACGTAAACTATACATTGACATTTTTAAAAAAAGAATAACGCTCTAAGGCGTGGTCTACAATCGATATCCAAGCCAAAAATATAATTTTTAGAACTTTTTCTGTTTGCCTGTATGTGTGTCCAGGCTGAACACAAAAAGCATTGCATGGATTTACTACACAACACACACACACTATTACTACAAATTTTGCATGAATATTGATAACAGGTCGGGTCAACTCATAGGCTAAATATTACCACGCTATCACCTATAGGGGAGGAGCTGTGAATCTTCACTATTCCACGCGGAGGAAGTCGCGGGCACAACTAGTTGTTACATAATTTTGTTTCTCTTTATAGTTCTGTTTAGAATGTAATATTTACCTGGGCGCATCTGTTTAATGGTGAACTCGTTGATGAGGTGGTGATTGTGTTCGTTTAAGCTGCAATGCAATGATACACAATCACTTTGGAATAGGAGGTCCTGAAAACAAAATACATACATATTTTAAGACATTTCACCACAATCGTTTATACTATTTATAAAGATTTTACCAATATTTTCATCATTTGTGAGTTCTGTTTATCATTTAATTTAATTTATTTCATGGCCTGATTGGCATCGCATTATAATTTCTAATTGTAAGTTTGAAATCGCTAACCCGCATTGAGCAAGCATGGCGATTAATGTTGAGCACCTTCTCCGTGAGAGAAGAGGCTTTGCTCAGCAGTGGGCATTTATAGGCTGTTGACTATATTATTATGTTTTCGGCTTACACACGTAATTATTTGACGAGGAACTCGACTAGTTTCAAGCCATGCTAGAGGCTCATATTCATGAGCAGCATTTTGCAACCCGCGACGCGGCGACTGGCTTGAAACTAGTCGAGTTCCTCGTCAAATAATTACGTGAGTAAGTCGAAAACATAATAATATATTTAGGCTGTTGACTGTTGATATATGTTGATGTACGTACATGTCCTTAATGTTTAATTTACATGAAGTATCAATTATTATAAATATCTGTATTTATGTAGAAATTTTGTTACAGAAAGAGGTTAATAATAGAAAGGTTTCGGGTTTGACTTTTGAAAACCCATGTATTAAGAAGCTTGTGAAACTGTTGGAGCTAGAGGCCAGTAACCACTGGACTGGGTCAAACGAAATGAGAAATTAAAACGGTTGATTTACAGGATTTGGAACGACCAACCGATACCTCTGTTGATTTTTACCATTGGTAACACCTTAATCTGCCCCAAAAAAGTGTAAATGTTATTATAGAAGAAGGTATAATTTACCTGA